TTTTTTTTTTTTTTTTTTTTTTTTTTTTTTTTTTTTGTTAACTGGTCGTATTCTTGTTGCAGTTTTGATGGTTGAGAACCATTTGTCGAGCGAGCAGGAAATTAAATTTCACCATATAATACTCATTTCTTTATGATTTGTAGACGCTATAGGTTCAAATTTCTGATTGTCTATAAAACTTGTGAATTACCCTAGAATAGAGATATGCACATTTAATATAAGGCTTAGGGTCTTCAAATTACAAATATAATTTTTGGGATTTTTCAGTGTATGCTCTTTTTCTTCCCTCGCTTTCTCCATGGTCATCCAAATCGGGAGTTTAAAGAGTGAATTTGTTTGACGTAATTCTAGTGGGACTGATCTACATGCAAATGTCACAACGATCTAATATTCAAACTTTGTAGAAATGGTTAAAAATGGAAAAGTTATCAGTACCGGCCCTGAGGGGAAGCATTACAAGCAACCGCTTCCGGCCTTCAAAAAATACTTAAAAAATTCAACCTTTTTTATAAGAAAATTATTATTATAGTATATAAACATTCTTATAAAAATGGCCAATTTTTTGAAAATTGCTTCTGGTCTTTCTCATGTCATGAACGGTACTGAAAGTTATATGTAAGTTGCTAGTGAGATAGAAGCAAAATTTGATGAGTTTAAGTGGATATGGTTGACTTGAGCCCACGTGCGGAATTGTAGAAAAGCACAAGCACAGTTCAAAGACAACGAAATTTCTCTGCCGAAGACATGTGCGAGTGCATGCTGTCTTGCGACGTGTTCCATGTTATTACACCACACAAAATTCCTTTACATATAAGAAACCTATATATGTTTATATTTTAATGTGATAAAGAAAAGATATGGACGAGTATTTTTTGTTGATGCCAAACTTTGTTCTACAAATTGTTTTGTTTGCTTCTCTCGTCCCAGGACCCATTGTCTCCAACGCTCAAACCACGTAGTCTTGAGGCTCCGGTTATTTCCACCGGTTGAACCGATCAATTGAATTTTGGATTTCCATTTTTCTCTTCCTATCTTTTGTTATAAATAGTGTAATCATCACTAAAACATACATACACAACCAAACAATACAAAATGTTATAATACAACAAGTGAAATTACACATTGATTTAGGTGACATTACCGGAGTAATTAGTAATGAAAAAAGGTAAGTGAATAAAAAATGTTGTTAGATTTTTTTTCTTTGTGATAATTATGAATGATAAGGTAAGGTTCGTTTGTTTTTTCATTCATAAATACTATATAGCGTTGTACAAAGAAGATAGTGAAAAAAAGGAGACTATTATTCTTCAAAATCTGGCATCTCCTCGGCCACATTCACATATGAGGTCCATAATTGGAGTCACATGGTTGCATGTGATTACATTGGGTCTACCCCTTTAGCCACATATGCCAACTCCACGTTTTCCCCTTTCTCTTCTTTTGTTTTGTAGCTATCATTCGATGCATTTATATATACTTTCTTTTGTTCTTAAGTCTACTAATTTCCATTTTTATGCGAAACAGTATCATGTGAATACATTAATTTAAATTAAAAACTAATAATATCAGAATAAAAATGTCAATGGACAAAATGAGGGTCGTATTAACTAAAAGTTATCCGGGTAAGATTTGTGAAAATGATTTTGTGAGAAACAATATTACCTGGAAACAAAAACACAATGACCCACAGACATGTTGCCATTAATTTGATATATATAAAAGTGTGAATGCAAAGAAGAAAGACATATTGGGTTGTAAAAAAAGAAGTAGCACACGTGGGGAGACTTAAAGAGGGGAAGAAAGATGTTCCTCCAGACTCATTTCTCAATCTTTTTGTTTCCCCTTCTTTTGGTACTAATGCTATGTGGTCCTTCACACTTCTTTCATTGTTACTTACTTGCTCTCCTCTAGTGGATTTCTTCTGACAAACTTACACTACCTTTTGTATTTTTATGCCATAATCAATATTTATATGTGAAGTCTACTAGAGTAACTACTTGTTTATCAATCAGTTTCAAACTTACCTTGAAAGTAGATTCTTTTTGTGTTAATCAACCAGTTTCAAAGTTAAATAGGGACATTAGTAGCATTGTAGCAAAATATACTTTTGGACGGCAATCTAGCTATAGTGCAAAAACTTCAACATCGAAAAAGTCAAAATGAGAACATCACATGGAGTCCATTGGCCCCAAAATTAAGGTGGGTGTTCTCTACACGTTAGGCCGTCTACGCACATGCTCTTTTTTTTCTTAATTGCTTCAAGTTGCAATTCATTTTAAAACTTTTATTCTTCTCTTATCTTCTTTTGTGTGTATATACTTATCTTTTAAAGGGTTTATTAATCACTTTAGAATCAATATTAGTTGCCTTTCTTTGTCTTTCTTAACAAGATTAATAAAACTGGTTCTAGAAAAATTAAGAATATCAAAATGGACACAACTAAACAAAGTAATGTACAATGTACAGAAATAAAATACATGAAATCATAAAACAGAAACAAATAAAAAAAAACTTGAGCCAAACAAAGGGGATAAAAAGGTAAAAAAAATAACTAGTTTACCAACTGACAAACTAACTGCCGCTGTTACGGTCGGGTCAACGTCGTCGACGGTGGCGCAGCGGCTGCTAGAAGCTCTGCTAGTGACTCCATGGCTCGAACCTGCATCTCCAGAGCCGCGATGTAATCACTCGCTTCATCCAAAAGGTTCGGCACGTCGACTTTCCGACAACCGGGAACTAACCTCCCGAGAATCTTCAGTTTCCTCTCAACCGCCGGCAGTTTTTCAACCCGTCTCCTCTCCGCCGCCGTGTCTTTTCTCGGCTTGCGAGTTCCCTTTGACTTCGCCTTCTTATGTTTCTTCAGACACGCTCTGACGCGAGCCGCTAAGATCGACCTGCTCCATCTACTCGTGCCGCGAGCCGACGCCGCGAGAACTCGGTCCGCCGTGTCGCGTATCTCTCTCGCGACGGAGGTGATTTTTCCGGCGTCGTTGGATCTCTGACGAACTCGGCGTAGAGCTTCGATGAGCTTGGAAGCGTAGATCTGTTGGACGCGATTGGTTCTCCATCGCTTTGAGCTTTCTTCGTTGATCCGTTGGGCCTCTGATGATGACTCTGCCGCCTCTTTGGACGTTTCTGATATCCTCCGCCTCTTGCGTCTTGACTCCGGAGACGCCACGTCATCTGTGGTGTCGATGGTCGGGAATAGAGAATCCACCATAACCAAAGATTTTTAAAAGAGGTGTAAGTAGGAACAAGACCACAACGATCTTTTGAGTCTTCCTCACTCCTCTCGGACAAGAACAGAGATTCAGGAACTCTTCTCTGTGTTGTGTCTCTCTCTCTCTTTAAAATGTGAGTTATAAAAAACAAAAGGAAGGTGAGGGGAGAGAGCGGTTTATATATCTCCTCCAAGCGACCGAGAGAGAGAGTCAACAGTTTAATACCACTTTTGTCCGTATTTACCGGTATTTTTGCTCAAGGAGCTGATGTAAACGGGCCGGGTCTCACAACTATAGGGTCCAACATTAATTTATAAGCCCAAGTTTAATGTTGTTACTTTATAGTATCTTTTAGTAATGTCCAAATTGAGAATCATGACGGCAAATAAAAAGATTGTTGGGCTTGTTTTTTCCTTATTGGGTTACTTCTAAAACCACGTACAATATCCTTTACACAATCCCTTGCTTTTAAAGTGTGGCACGTAGGGGTGGGCATTTCGGTTTTATTACAGGTTCGGTTTGGGTTCAATTCGGTTAAGGTTATTTGAGTCTAAAAAAACTTTAACCAAAGTCAATCCATATTAGTTTGGTTTGGTTTATATTCAGTTTGGTTCGGTTTTAGTTTGTTTGATTTGTGTTTGGTTCGGTTTTAGTTCGATTTGGTTTGTGTTTGATTTGGTTTAGTATGGTTTTGTCTGTGTTTTTCAATTCAATCGAGTTGATTTTTTAGTTTTTTTAGTTTAATTACAAAAATATAATTTATAAAAATATTTACAAATCATCATTTGATACTAAATCACTGTTTTCTCTATATTTAAACATAAAATTAAACATCACAATAACTATTTAGAAGATGCAATCCAATACTTTTATATTAATATCTTCAAACTTAATATAAAATCATAAAAATATTCGGTTTTGATATTAATATATAAATTCATATTTTGTAGTTTTGTTTATTATATTCATCTAGAAGTAAAATGAATAAAATTATTATTTATTTAGGTTAAATGCTTAAATATATTAAATCAAATATTATTACTATATTTAATTAATCTAATTAAAAACATTTCGGTTTTTCGGTTTAGTTCAGTTTAAAACCAAACCAAACCGAACCATTCGGGTTGATAAAATCTTGAACCAAATGGTTTAGACATATATTTTGGTTCGGTTTAGATCGGTTTGGGTTTGGTTGGGTTGGGTTGGGTTGGTTTGGTTTGGCTTTGTTTGGGTTTTTTTTTTGTCCACCCCTAGTGGCATGCATCAAATTTTCTAACTTGATATTTTCTTTGTAACATAGTCGGTATGTCAGGCGTTACAGTTGTACAAGTGTTGAGTGTTCGATTTAGACAGGGCTTATGCGTTTGTTTAACCCGCAAACTTGAATTAGACGACGCATAATTAATAACTACCGACTACTGATTTCGTGATCAGTGTCCATCTGGTCTTGCAAAAACAAATACACTTTTATAAGTTATAACAAACCAGAGAACAATGGATAGAAACATTACACCAACATACAACACAAAGATACACAAATCATAATTAAGATAGTGAATTAAGAAATAACGTCAACTTAAGAAAACTGTTCTTCCCTGGCTCCCAACTCCTCGATCATCATGTTCTTCTTCTTGTTCATTATAGCATGGATCTTGGAACAGCTACAAGGCATAAGCAAGCACGATGGCCCACCTAAAATACTCTCATTTGAGACAACAGGGAGCTTTTTCGAGATCACCACGGAGTTGATGACATCATCCGTCGGATGATAGATAGACAAAACCTCGAACCCTTGAAGATCACACGGATCAACGATCGGATAAAGAAACGCTCTAGGGCCATGAGCACTCCTCAGCATGAGTACAGCACCAGGAGCCATGTGTTTCTGAAGATGCTCGATCACTTTAACTTTATCTTCCTTATTCATCCCAACGAGAGCTGCTAGAAACACGACGTCGAAGCTCTTCAAGCTCTCTGTCACTTCCATTATATCAACGGTGTGGAAGAACATGCGTTGAGAGATGTCTGGATCAGAAGATACCAGAAGAGAAGCGAGTGAGTTCGCTGAATGGTCGATGTCAAAGTTGTGAAAGACTGTCTCTTTGAGATGGGACGAAGCAAGAACGATGGAAGTTAGAGGAAGAGGACCAGATCCAACGAAAGCAACTGTCTTTGGGACAAGACCGTTTAGGTTTTGTGTCAGGAGATCGTACTCGAGCTTCCCGAGTTTAATATAGTTATTGTAATAAGGGAAGAGGTTTAAATGGTTAAGTGGGTTGTCTTCAAAAGACGTCAAGATCGAAGAGAAATGATGTTCTAGGTGACCTTCGGCTTCACCACAGATCTTGATGAGTTTTTGTCGAGTCTCTTGCACAGTGTCACACATCTTTGTGACGTCGATGTTAGGGTTGGGTGGGATGCATGTGGAAACGAGCTGGCTGAAGAGAATGTTGACATCTTCGGATGGTTTTAGACTCTTGAGCTTTGAGATCTTCTCGTAGAGATCGCAAATTGTTTTCACCAGTTGCTCGTCTTGGCAATCCATGTCGACACTATGAGGCTATTTTGTTTTCAAAGTATAAAAATAAAATAGGAAAAATGTTCTTGTTATTTTTCTTCTTCAAGATATTGTGTTTCTCGGGTGGTGTGAACTGTTTCGAGGGATGGATATTTATTAGGGTGAGGTGGGGACCGCATCAACTCAAAAACGAATATGAATTATTTAGCATTTCATGATTCAAGTTGAACACTTGGAATTATCACGTCGATAAATTATTTTGGTAAGTATAATTTAAGGAAAACAAACCTAAACATAAATATATAATCTATGAAAAAATATGCTAGAATTTTTAATATTAAAGATGTGTTGTTTTGCTAGGTGGTAAGAGTTACAG